TTTTTTTTTTTCACTCAGATTGCCTATGTCGATGCAAAGTTTGTGGCAAACTTCATATTTAGAGATGTACAATGAAAATTCTAGCAGGTCGTTTGATCAACCTAACACAAGTTTAGTTGGTAAATCACAATTATATATTGATCAATTTAATAACTTGGAACAATTTGTTATGACTTGATTTTTCATATTTATAAGTTAACTTACTGATGCACGGTTCGCTTTATGGGGAGCATTGAAATGTCTTTCATTGATAAATAACAAATATGAGAGGTCGAGGAGGCGCAACCCGGTTCAAGAGGAGCAACCCGGTTCGAGAGAAGCGGTCGAGCAATTTGAGATTTCGTGGCATAACAGATATGAAGTTGCCAAAATCTTGGTAAATCGTGGTTAAGAAATAAAAAGAAAAACACAAGAATAAAAAAAAAATCTGTAAATTCACATTTTGAAAAGTTGCGCACGATTTTTCATTGTAAATGATGCACATGATTTTGAAATTGATTTGGATTTATTCCTAAATAATTGGATAATGTTTGACTTTAAATATCAAAGATGAACATATTTTGTTACCAAAACATGTGGATACTATTTTGAATGTATATCTCGTCCACAATCCAATTTTTTTAAAATAAAAGTTGCACGTGGTTTTATTTAATTTGCACATTTTTTTTGAAAGATTTGATTTGCAATACAAAGACATTGGCAAGAGACATGGGAATACGACGCATGGGATTTATGCTATTCATGGAAGCCCGCATGTATGAAGGGAGGGCAGGCCCGAGATAGAAGTCGGAATCCATGATCCAATCCGGAATTACCAAAAAGATTAATATAATTTGTTAAGAATTATACAACTATTTGTTTCCTAAATTTGTATTAAATTTGCACAATTTTAAAATTAATTTAGATTTAGAATTGATTTCATAAATGATTGACACATGCTTTGCATAAAAAACTTCAAATTTGTTTAAAAAAAATAGTATTCAAATTTTGGTTAAAAAAAAAAAAGAAGATACGAAAAACAAGTAATTTAAATTTTTTTATAAGAATCTTTAAATTTGTTAAAATAAAATGAGATTCATATTTTGTTACTAAATATTCGCGTGTATTTTCAAAATTTCCAGTGTATTTTCAAAATTTCCACTAAACGACGTTGAAAGTGGAAGCCTAGGGATGCAGTTGAAGAATGCCGAATTGCATAAATTTCACTTCACTCGGCGTGTACCATGTCCCGAGTTCGAGTCACCTGGGAGGAAATTGAGGAACCAGTATTGATCCCCCTTTTTAGAATGAAAAGAGAAAAAAAAAAAAGAATCAGTCATTAAATTTAATGACAGAAAGACCTTTCTAATGTCCGCTAATATGCCTACAAAGAATATGCTTCAAGTTTCAACTGTATACATAACACGACTTCCAACTTCAGGTTACTCCATAGTAACAAAGTGGAAGTACTTTAACTATTCCAAAAAATTGTAGGGAGAAAAATTACACCCAGAACCTTTGTTCTGAAAGTCACCACTTGCAGCGACGAGAAAGGCTTTCTTGGGAGGATAGCAATGCCCTTTATTTTTGTTTACATGCCGAAATTGCACATCTGCACAAATTCCATTTCATTATCAACGTATTTTGTCCAGAGATGCTTGTAACGGTTCATGGCAATATCCAGCCAAGGTTTCATGTCCCCACTGAAATGGATAACAGCAGCCTTATCAATTTCCTCCAAACATATGCTGGGATTGAGCCCCAGCCCAAGCACATGCCATGATTTGTCCAGTGACTTGGTTGTAGAGTAAAACGTAACGAGCCCAGCGGGTAAAGTACCAAGTTTCCACAACGTTCGCTCCTCATTCTGATAATTCATGATAAAAAACTTTACAGTGAGTATCTAACTCAGCAATAACATCAGAAAACTACACACAAAGAAGTTATAAATATCCAAGATATTCATTTCCATTTCAAAAATTGCAGGTTTGGTAGGTGAGTAGTGCTTGGGTTCACGGTGCTATTATAAGAACTTAAGGAGTCCATTAAATCCTGAAATACAGCTGAAGATTTTTATTTTTATTTTTTGTAATTAAGCTAAACGTTGAGTGTGGTTTCTGCTATTCCACACTCTCGTTTAATGGTATGTTTGTGTGTATCAACAAATAAGGGTGTTTTGTGCGTGTGCGCAAGTCATATATGGATATATATACACCAAGATTCATGTAATTTGGACTTGCTCCAACAGGAATGATGGAAATACATAATCAAAATCAAATGCTTCCAGACAAAACGGCTCAAGGTAATAAATCTTACAAGATTCTGCCAATAATGATATTGCTCGGTGCATCTTTCCCGCCGCCAAGCATCAAGATCAAATATGTTCATGCCAAAAGCCCATGCACAGGACCTTGAATTAAACTTCTCCTTGATGAGAGGATGAGAAAAGTTCAAATATTCTGAATAGCGGTGGAATGAGCCAAAGCAGGTACTAACAGCACCATTAACCTTCCCATCCATATCAATTTTCCACAAGGCGGTCAAATCTTTCTGAACCACAACATCATCATCCAGAAATAGAATCTTGTGGAGCTTTGGATACAGTTCAGGTAGATAGAACCGAAGATGGTTGAGCATTGATAAGTACTTGGGGTTTCTAAATTTCATGTTGTTTACATCTTTAGTGGTGTTCTCTGCCCTTGTCTCAAAGTAAAATTTCTGCAAATTTGCAGATCCAATTTGTCTGAGGACAGGTGCATATGAGGAAGTTAAGAACTTGAAATTATCAACTGCATTGATCTCAATATGGGCACCCCCTTGTACTGGCCTCATTTTGAACCAAACCTTAGTGGCAGCAAAGTTCATCCTGTCTGTAACAACATGGAAAACATGTTTCCATGGCTCGTCTGCATTCTTCACAACAGAATTAACCACAACAGATATTGCTATCACATTGTCTGAAAACAGAGCATAATGGTACAAAGTCGGGTCTTCAAACTCGGGCTTGGGCTCATCATCTTCATATTTCTTGGGATGTGCAATTCTCTCTTCCATGAGACGCATCGCAAGACAATGCAAACTCTTTGGAGTTGATTTCGCAGCAATTAGGCTGGCAAAGGCCCCATTCTTCTTTGCCTTCAGAAGCAACTCATTAACGGCAAAGATCGTGTCTTTCAATTTCTGGATCTTCAACTGATTGTCATAAGACTCCTTTGAATCTACAATCATCAGCCGGGCAATTTTGACTTTATCCTTCACCTCCTTCTCAAACTGCCTCAAAATATCTTCGTCAACCGGCCCATCGGAGTCGAACAATGCAGTCCGATATGTCTGCTTCAGTTGAAGATCCAGAAAATTCCTAGCCAAATCCTCAAACATCTTAAGCTGCTTAGATATTTCAAGTTTGAGCTTCCTCGCGTACGTCCCATATGCATTAACTAAGGCAATATGGTTATTTGCCTGGTTATGCATCAAATTTAACCTAGTCTTCAGAGGATCCGAGTGCAATGTTAGAAAAGTTTGAGTTACATGGGCACTTCCTGTATGGTCCATAATCTGTTCATAATTTCAGGAAAACAATCAACTTCCTTAATGTCATTGCAGATTGTTAAGCAATAAATGCAAAAGCACAAAAACTGAAGCGCACAGTTAGAAAAGTAATCCCAAAACGCAAGCACATTAGAATTAGCGAAATGAATTAATGCCATCTTCCTGCACAAAAAGATCACTGAACCACAATTGTTTTCTTAAAATAACAATAATCATAAATAAAGAGGCTAATTCTTACGGATTCATTGTGGGAGGGATGAGAGGAGAGCAGGACAGATAGAGTAGCAAGGAATAGGAGCGTGAACATGGCTGACACAAAGATCCGGTAGCTGAAGAAGCTCCGGAATACGGATCCGCCACCCGATCCGACCCGACCGCGGACCGCCACCGCCATAAACGATCACCGCCGCAGAAACCGTATTGCTCAGAAAACACGAATCCGATCAATAGTGCTGTTCGTGAAAATGGTATTGGCTAAGATCCCCAGCATTCAATTGAATATCTGGTGGATATATGTAATTATAGGTAGACAGATAGATTGATACAAATGAATGTGTGTAGGTGTGAATTGAATGAGAGAGATCTGATTCTGGGACTGAAGTTGGAGACGAGAGTACGACGGCGTTGTCGGTGTGGGTTTTTTTTTAAACTTATTTATAAATTGGTATGTTCACTGTCTTCACTTTTTTTTTAAAAAAAAAAATAATAATAACTATTACACCACCCGTGTATGTGTTTGTTAAAAAAACAAAAATATTTTAAATTTTATTTATTTTTTACAAAAAATATATATTATTATATATCTATATATATATATATATAATAAAATTTATTATTTTTTAAAAATGGCAAGTCAAACTCTGGTCAAACTCAATTTGCATTTATGACATTCTATTAATAGTAACTTTTAATATTTTTTTTCCAAAAAATCGGATAACATTAAACATGCCCTTAAATTGTGGCATTTGTTACTTATTTTTATTTAAAGAAAATGGAAATACATTAATTTGACCTTAAAATTTGGAAAGTTGTTAAATTAAACAAAAAAGTTACAGCTCATTTAAAACTTTATCATGGAAACAACTTTTTTCACCAAATATTGCAACTAATTCAATTGATTGTTTGGCACCTTTTATTTTTTCCTAAAAGAAAATCACAGATGAGTATTCAATTGAAAAAATAAAGTTGCGTCTCATATCATTATGATATATTTACTCCATATCATTTTTAGTTTGGGTGAGTATGCAATTACTTTAAAGGAGATGATTGACAAATATAATTTAAGAAATTTAAAAATTTTAGTCAGATCATGAAAACATAATTTATTCAATATAATTAAACAAACCGCTTACTTTATGGATTTGGATATTAGTCTAAGGGATTTAATTAACTAAATGTCATTCATAACAAAATATTAGTCAAATCATAAAATATTGAGAATGTGATAATTACATACTCAAATTCAAAATATTTGCATTTTATTTTCCTTTTCTGATCTATCTCCGAAATAAAAAAAAAAATATGTCTTATCCCTAAGTTATACTCCAATCATTTATTTACCTGGTTATAAACAAAACGAAAAAAAAAACACTATTGATAAAATTTCAATCAAGTCGTTTATTTACGTGATTGTAAACAAACATAAATAAAAAAACATATATAATTGCAAAATTTCAGTTGTCAAATACAATTTTTAATTAAAATTGGTTAAGTGGAGACAACCTATTTACCAAAAATGGTAGCAAAAGTATAGGTTAGCATTTAATGCAACTTATAAAAAGTAAGTTTCATAAATTTTATTATTATTTTCTTTAAAAAACATACAACATTAAATGTTACCTTAAATTTCGAGCTTTAGTTCCTTTTATTATTTAAAAAATATGGCTAAGATCTTTTAAGTGTGCATGTTTTTATTTTATTTTTTTCTTAGACACAAGGAACAACATTAAAATCTCGGTCTCTTTATTTATAAAATCTCAATTCAAAATATATCAAAAGTTTTACAATCTCGGTCTTTATATTTGTGTCTTTCAAAAAAAAAAAAATGAACGCTAAAAATATATTTTAAATTGATAATCAATCAATTAATATTATTTTTTTGAAAATTACTATGTTTATTTTTTTTTTTTTTTATTAATATGCATAGTAAATATAATTAATTTATCTTTAGATATATAATTTATAATCTTAATATACTATCATTTGGTGTAGACATTTATTATATGAATCATAAAATATTTTATTTCATAAAAATAAATATATTTATAGAAAATAAGGAAATTTCTTTGGATCAATCGGGTGATTGAATTAGGGTACTGCCCATGTTGATTGAATTATGGTACTGCCCATGTTGATTGAATTACTTTTAGGTGATATTTGAAATAGTCAAAAAACTTGGCACAACTTGGTTGGTCTCAGGTGACTAAGTTATGTATCAGTTGGACCAGACCAAATCGATATTGAATCTAAATATAAATTTTTATATTGAAAAATACTTTATTACGTGAATGTGATGCAGTCCAAACTTCAAATAATCATATTGACAGTACTTTTATGACAACATGTTTAATAATTTATAAATATTTATATATCATTTTAGTAATATTTATGTGCATAAAATAATTTTATTATATTTTTTATTAATGTACAGTAAATATAAGGTTTTCAGAACCGGACCGTCATCGAAACGACCAAGCTATTTTATTAAATCACTTGTGGTTTCTTCAGATTTTAGTTTATAAACATTTTAATATACATATATAGGTTTTGTTGTAATAAATTTAAATAAAATATGTTACTTAAATATCTAAACAATTTATAAATCTAATGTTTAAACTAATTGATAAACAATTTTTAAATCTCTATTTAATTTAATTATGTAAATTTATTTATACTAATTTTAAATGTAGCAAAATTTGTTTAGAAAATCATATCGATCCTACCAGTCCAATCGACTGGTGTTGACAAATTAAATAGCGAATATTTTATTCAAGTGAATTATAAACTGGTTCTCGGTCCATCCAGTCGGACTGTGTCCAACCCGGTTTAATTTAAAACAATGGGTAGATCATGATTAATGATATTTATATATTTAATTTATAATATAATCGTAATATTATTTTCTCGTGCATCGCACGGGCCACACACTAGTATTTTAGAATGACACTTGTTATTTATGCGACATACATGTGTTATATTAAAGTAATTCTTAAAACTTATATCGTATAACTACTTGAAATAGAAGTATATTAATTGATAAATAGTTTTATTAATCTAATTAATGTTAAAAACAATTTTATTGTTGTTATAAAGATAAATATAATGTATTTTTTTATAAATACATTACGAATGTTAAATCAAAGCTCATCAAGAGATGACTAATTTGATGTATTATATATGTAAAACTGATAAGAAAATACTAAAGTTATTAACTTTTAAAATACATTTACAATTCAATGGTTATAATAAGAAATAATATTAAAATGCAATTAGTTCATTTAACATGATCATAAATAATCCACATATTTATGGATAATCTGGACCTAATTATTTTTGGATTGGAAATAAATTAAAATCTACTCAAACCTAATAACGAAGCATGTAATTTTGCCACATAGGATCTCGAAGCATGCGAGTCTGCCACTTAAGCTCAACACGTTTTGATTCTTGAATTAATATATAGGGGATGATAAACTTGCACCGAACCCGTGTGTTATACGAGTTACCCATGTGCGTTTTAAAAATGGCATGACACCTCTTTATATTTACTTTTTTTTTTCGAAATGAAAGAGGTAATATATTATAACTCAAAAGAAAAACATAGCTAGATACAAACGGGGCCAAAAACCGAAAATTAAAAAAGATAGGTCACGCTATAAAGCAGCCTAGATAACCCCCAGACAGGTATCACGCTAGCAACGCTAGAAAAGAAAACACACGACACACCACACGAACACAAACTACGAACGCTCCCAACAGGAGAATAGAAACGGCCCCCACGGGGTAATCAGAACCGAGGCCAACGGCCCAAACCTAAAACACGATCCTACCAACCAACACACAAAAGACCCAAAAAGAGAAAACAACAAAACAACAAAACAATAACAAAGCCCTTCCTAAGCAATCAAACGAGTCGGAACAGCGGAGAAATAAAAGAATCCATGAAAGATCCCAAGCCCGAGCCCTGTTGGTGTTATATACTTAAGCTGTGCTTTAGTGGATATTTCACTTGTTATTC